AGATAGATAGATACAGTTATATAGATATCTGTGTGTGTGTATTTATGTGTAAAACAATATATTTTTTTTACATTTCTGATGGGGTATTGGATATCTGTCTCTTTTTTAGGCTCTGAGATTATTGATGGAAAAGAAGTGAAGCCGCGACACTCAATGCCCTTCATGGCTTTGGTACAGTCAGGTAAATTCAAATGTGGAGGAATATTAATTGATCCACAGTGGGTCCTGACAGCTGCACACTGTGAAAAGTAAGAACTTTAAACTCGTTTAATTCTTATATATTTAGTTTTCACCTGGATATTTAACATGAAAGTGATGATAATATAAAAAAACATTAGAGTTACATTACCTAGTTCAGTATAAATTTAATTTGATTATTTGATTAATGTTTGGGTGTTTAAAATCCTTAAAGACTTATATAGAAATAGTGCAGACATAATGCATCATTTTTTATAGAATGATGACAGATAGAAAAACCCAGGGGAGACCATGTTGGCCTGAAATTGAAAATAATCAGATAGTTTACCCCTACTCTTTTATCACTTTGACTATTCAAAATATATTAACTTTTGAGGATTTTTTTTTCTATTCACATTCATACTGTGAGTCCCCAAAATTGAGTTCAGATTCTAATTTTCTTATGTGATGTGTCAGTTAAAATGGGGTAATTGTTCAGTTTCATGCATTTTGCAGACCTATATTGCCTAAATTTTTTATTCAAATTATTCAAATTCAAATTCAAAACGATTCTATACAATAAGGTAGTAAAGTCCCTAACTTTCAGGAAAACACAGAAGATACAATGCTTTAGATTAAAGTTGATCTCTGATAAAGGACTGATAATAACAATGTTTTTATATTTTATTAATGTGCTTTAACTTTGTTTTCGCTCTATATTTCAGGAAACAAAGCTTTTATTGTCTCTTTCCCATAACAACATCACCTGAAGTACATTATTGTCCATGCACACAATAAGTAAACAAGGAAGAAGAGTGGGCCTCATGCAAGAAGCCTTTGTATGAACAAATTGGTTCCTAAATTGTTCATGATTTAGGAGAAAATGTCACATTGACTATTTTCTACTTTATAATCTTGTTTTACTTCTGTAACAGTGTAGCCAGGCATGTACAGCTATTGTGATTTATTTATCTGTTTAGCTTATACTGGTTCCGTAATTCTGTTGCTTAACTCTCAGTCAGCAAAAAAGTCAAACCCGTAAAAAAAAAAAACTTTAATGCCATTTTTACGTATAAACATCTTCTGAGGAGCATAGGAAGTCATAGCCTTCCCACTTATACGTAACCTTATAATTATGATATTATGAAAAAAAAAAAAGAAATTTACTACAAGAATATGATAATCTTTTTGCATTAGGTCAGTTGACACTATGCAAGACAGCTTTGCCCAGCATAGGTGCAAAAACAAATAAGAAAATTCCAAGATCAGGTATAAAAGGACAAAACAAAAGGCGAAATGGGTGCCAAGAGGGATATGACTCGACAATTGAATAGAGAATACATTGGGGGTGTTCACTGAAACATTAGCTAATACTGTGCCTAAGTATACAGCCATATTTATAGATAGAAAAGTTTATATTGTATGTCAGTGCATGATGTTTGCCATTGCTAATGTATCCTATTTGGTAATGTAAGCTGCATGCAGATGGTCCACCTCAGTGTTGATGTCTGCAGATTGTGCCTGTTGCAAAATTTCTTTTTAGGGTAAAATTATTGGTTTAAAGAACACCAAGACAATTGCTTAAATAAATATATATATAGATAAATATATGTTTTTTTTTGTAATTATAAGTGATTAGGTCCCAAGATAACATACAGCATGTCAAATGATTACTTAGATGTTTTGTCAAAAGAAACTTATTTAATTCACTCATCATGCATGGATTACATTAGTTTGGTTCTCTTATAAAAAATTTAAAAAAATTAAAAAGCCTGGTATCATAGTTGCACATTCTCCATGAATCTAACCCCATACTATTGTTTTGCTCTTGTAGAGTTATTTGGCCTACTGTGCTCCTGGGAGTGCACTCCATCAAAGATGAAAAAAAAGAAAAGAAGTACCGTCAGATCCGTAAGGTGACGAGACGGATACCTCATCCCTCCTTTAACAAGGCAAGCGGAGACAATGACCTTATGTTACTCAAGGTAAGATACAAATTCACATTAATTGGCTTATGCCCATAGTAAAGGTATATTGTTTCGAAAAATACCTTACTAAAAGTTAGTTTTGTTTCTGTCACTGACAAGCTTGGGTTAAACCGCTTCACATCTCAAACAGGGATCAGTAGCCATATGAGTTTCGTTTTCATATTCATGTGCTCAGATAATTCCTTCAATAAGTTTTAATTTATAAACTCATATTCGGAGCCTTTTTTGTATAAACTTATGAACAGTTTCATATCTATACTGGTCATTTCTCCTTTCAGCTGGACAAACCAGTGAAGCAAACCAAGTGGGTCCGCGTTCACCAGCTGAATAATGTTGTGAAACTGCCAGCAGTCGGTGACATCTGTCAAGTGGCTGGATGGGGAGCAACCAGCAAAAATGGTAAAAACTACTCAGACGTTCTGATGGCTGCTAATGTAGCTGTAATTGACAGAAGGAAGTGTAACTCTAAAAAACATTACAACCATAAACCTTTAATTACAACGAACATGATATGTGCCGGGCCCAATGGAAAAAGCAAGGCTGACACCTGTGCGGTAAGAAGGACCAACAACCTTCTAAGTCAAGTATAATACCCTTATGAGCATCAAATAATTCAGATGTTATTTTTTTTTTTTTTTCAGGGGGATTCAGGGGGACCAATATTGTGCAAAGGAGTTCTTGTCGGAGTAACATCTTTTGGAGGCAACAATACTAATCACTCTAAAAACTGTGGATCAGTAAAGTGGCCTGGAGTGTATGCCTTACTTTCAAAAGAAAAAATAGAATGGATCAACAAAGTGATGAAGTCTCTTAAAATTGAATAACTCTTTGTCCGATGTTGATAAAGTAATAAAAGATACTCTCTATTAATTCTGCTTTGTTTATTATATTATTTTAAAAATGTCCATTTTAATAAAAGTCTCTGTGCAGGCTAGCAAGCCTATTTTCCTCAGTCTCATCCATCCATGTCTGTTTGGACAGTCACGAAAGAGGAAGGAGCCAGCTCCAAACTCTTCCCACAAAGTGGAATTGTCCAAAATGTTTTGATATGCTGAAGCATTCACAGTTCTTTTCACTGGAAGTAAGCCAGCTCCTGATGAACAAAACTGCACCATAATCCCCCTTCAGCAAACCACACCTTGAACATTGTTTCAAACAAGTACTGTTCTCCTGACTATGAAACCCAGACTTTTCTTGCAGATTTCCAGATGGAGACTTCAATTCAATTCAAAAATACTTTATTAATTGCAAAGGGAAACTAAATGTTGCAGCAACTTATATAGTTTTTGCTTCTTTTTTTCTTCTTCATTGAGTTGTTGTAAATGTTGATAGCTGTAGGCAGGAAGGATCTTCTGTAGGAGATTTCAGGCATAAAGCTTTTGATAAGAACCAATGATAGAGCAGACTCTCACATTATCGAGGGGGGTATTTCTACATAAGGGAACCTCCCCCCATTGTCAGGGTGTATGTTTTCTGATATCATAACCTATAAAGAAACTATAAAGGTTGCGTAACTGCAAGTTAGACACATCGTCTTAAGACTCCTCCTTTGGGGAAACACTAACGTCATTCTGTTGTACTTTTTAAGGGCGTCCATGTAGATTGTACAACTTATATATCTTTTTCTTTTTTATACTCTTTTAATACAATGGCTGAACCTTCATTTGTGTCTATAGTTTTACTTGAATTTATCATTCTAAATTGTGGTTCTGATTATTTTCAGAAATAATAAAAAGTGTTTTCAAAGTAGTTGGAGTTGTATATTAACTCTATGTGCATTGTTTTTCAAAAGAAATTCCATCTGAACATTGCAAAGACCTGAAGCCTCCTCTGCTCTTAACCGTTTGTCTTCAAATGTGTGATCTCACCGACACCGATGCAAATGATATTAAAAACAAAACTCAACTGCATCACAGTTGACTAACTTGGTTTTGATCAGTACGGGTAAATGTTACCACCAGCTACAGACTGTTAGTGTGCAGCAAATGACTCTGTCCATTTTGCTTACTCATGTGTTTCCATGGTCAAACCACATCCTTTTAGAAAACACATAAAGGGTACGGTATTCATCTTGATAGGTGCATTTCACCCATAGATCAAAGACATGAGATAAGAAGACATGTTTTCTCAGAGGGGTTTCTTCACTTCTATCATTAGCGTCTTTCTCTTCATTGTCAACTCAAGTGAGTAATAACATCTTGTCTTGCATACTGTTTACTTATTTTAAATAATATTAAAATGTTTTTCTATTTTGTGTGGTTATTTTTCATGTGTTAGGTTATGGTTCTGAGATTATTGATGGGAAAGAAGTGACGCCCCACTCATTGCCATTCATGGCTTTGCTACAGACGAATACACCAGTCTGCGGAGGAATATTAATTGATCCAAAATGGGTCCTGACTGCTGCGCACTGCAAAAAGTAGGAACTAACATGTGTAGGATCTTATGCATTCATCTAAAGTTAACTCGAACTTTAATAGATAGGTAGTTGAAACAAAGCTGTATTGTGAAATTTCTTGTTTGCCATCTCTCTACACAAGTTTCATTATTGTTGTATGAAGGCTATTTTTTTTCTCCCCTCCGATGTGGTGCATTGTGAAATATGAAAATAAGTACAGCAAGCTTTGTCGCCGCAATAATAATTTTCTTGCACGTTGGATTTTGTTCTGATGACTAAAATAAAAAACAGCTACACATATCTGACATATAGCTCTTACAATCCATTTCTCCCCCATAGGCTTTTAAATCAAAATCAATGCATTCTTTAAAACTACATATATTTACTGACTCAAACAAAAAACTAGAAGACATACATCCCATGTATGACACTTGTCATACATGGGATGTTTCAGAAATGCATCAGATATGCCAGATATGACTCACATTTCATCTCAGGTATTCAAATTAAGGCACAGGCACATTTTCTCCTTATCTGCTATTTACACAAAATTAGGTGCAAGTGTCTCTTCTCACAAAAAAAGAAACAACAAAAAACAAAAAAACATCAAGGCTTTAGTTCGATTGTCTTTTATTTATGTATTTTGTCTTTCCCCTTGCTATTCAGTTTCATTTTTAGGTCTCAAATTATTCCTTAATCCTTAGGATTTTTCTGATTACTTTTCTGTTTTAGTCTTCTTAATCTATCTAGAGTTATTTTTCTATTAGATACCACGGTTGGTTTGTCTTTGTTTCTGCTTCAGCCATATTCATTATCTTCTCCCTCCTTGAGCTTTTCTGCCTCAGCTGCAACTCATTTCTTCTGATTACCTCATCTTGTTTAACTGTCATTTCTCTTACCCTACATGTGACTCATCTCTTAGTAGAAAATGTCAACTGTAATGTCCCCAGAAGTCTGAATTATGGGTCAGAAGGTTAGAACAACACAACCATAACTGACTTTCATAGTAAATGATGACTGCTACATTCATTAACTGTAGTAACATTTATTTATTTGTTTTTAACAAAAGGTTTCAACATTATGTATGTGCCTAAATGACCAAAGGGACATTGGTTGAGTCCTAGTTACTACTAGTAACTATGGCCACAAAGCTGTATATAAGAACATTGTTGAATAAACACTATAAACTTGAATGCTATCATCTCTGAGGTCACCTCACTCCTCAACAGTTTGGATATCAGAGCTAAATGGAGGCAGTATTACTTTATATTCTTACTGGTTCTCTGTGTATCCCACTAAATCCTTCTGATACAGTTTTATCTGCATTTTAACCTTGACTTTCTTTATATGCACTATCCTCTGTTCTTAATGAAAAACTGGAAAGCTATATATTTTTTTTTATTAAAGCAGTGTTACCCAAAAAGAACTGTGATGGGTCTCTGCTAATATCCTATCAAGATAATATGTTCGAGGGTTACGTCCACATAATTGTCTTTTGCTACATTTGCAATTGTGAAAAGTCTCTGGATTTATTTATCTTTTGTTTATTTATTTATTTTGTACGGCTGTTATAACTAAAGGGGGCAGCTCAATGACACAGTGGGTAGCATTGCTGTCTTGCAGCAAGAAGGTTCTGGGTTCCATTCCTGGCCCGGGGTCTTTCTGCATGGAGTTTGCATGTTCTCCCTAAGAATCCGTGGGTTCTCTACGGGTACTCTGGCTTCCTCCCACAGTCCAAAAAGATGACTGTTAGGTTAATTGGCTCCCCTAAATTCTCCTTAGGTGTGAGAGTGTGCATGAATGGTTGTTTGTCTCTGTGTTGCCCTGTGATGGACTTGTTAATATTGTGTTAAATGTTAAATCAATTATGTACACTGCAAATACGATCTAGAAACCCATAATTTAAGTAGGTAAAAAGATGATTTGCCAATAAAATAAGTATTTTACTCTTAAAATAAGATCATTAGATATGATGCACTTGAATTAAGACAATGTAATTGTTTTTCTTATTTTCTAATATAAATTGTCCTGTTCCATTGGCAAAGTGTTTCACTTATGTCCTCAAGTTAAGAAAAAATTCACCAATTTTAAGATAAAACTTAGTGTTTGGATTTCAGTTTTTTTTGCAGTGTAAATAATATATTTTTTTTATGTCCTTGCAGTATTAAGACTGTGCTGCTGGGGGTGCACTCCATCAAAGAGATTGAAAATGAAAAGAAATTCAGGCAAGTCCGAAACGTAAAAACAAAGGTCATCCATCCCTGCTATGATGAGGCGGACCATCTCAATGATCTCCAGTTGATCATGGTAAGACCTCCACATACAAAATAAGGAAATATTGAAATCACTTTGATCATAGCTCCAAAATTGCTACTGGTTTAATTTGACAGTTGTAGAAACTATACTGTTATTTGTTATTTTCAACACCAGGGGACTCAAGCTGAAATCCTCAAAGGCCGGTGTCCTGCTACTTTAAACACCTGAATCAAATAGCCTAACTACAAAATTATCATCCATTGAGCTCTGCTAATGAGCTCATATTGGTGTTTGGTGTGTTGAAGCATAGATACCTCTGAAATATGTAGGAAACTCTAGGATTTGAGTTTGAGATCGCTGCTCTAAACAATGTGAAAAACGGACCTTATCTCTTTTTTTACCTGCTTGCTAGAGGCTTCAGTATTTCTTAAACAAAAGGCACCCAATGAGTTTTGTACAAATAAGCAAGATTTTAGAGCAGTCAGTGCATGTTTGTGCACATTTATGGGTCCATTCCACATGGCTATCTCTGTGTAAAAAAAAAAAAAAAAAATTAAACAGCAGTGACGCATGTTTATGCTTAATCTCGTTGTTCAGTGTCATGTAAAACTAGTGAAATTCATATTTTGGTGTAGATACATGATGTCCTTGTAGCACCATTTTAGATTAGGCTTATTAGAGCTTACATGATTTCCAGTCGCTGGTCATTACGTAATAAACTATGCAAACAAATTCTGACTAATGCTACATGTTGATGATACAACTTAAGGGACTCTACAGTGGATATAGCACTTTTATTTGACCAGATCTATTTTAATGAGTTGAAAAATACTTTTGGCATTTGGCTGAATTGTCCGCAGGCTGTGCCAAATGGCAGCTCTAACTGGCAAACTATCCACTAAAACCTTTGTGAAAGTAATGGTTGTCCCATTGCAGTTATTGTCAAGATGGTACTTGATAGATTGACTATGAGTCATCACCTGGGTGTACAAAAGAATTCCCTTGGTGTGATGCACCACTTATTGATAAATAAATGTGCCAAAGCTTAAAAAAAATCCCAACTGTGGTTGCAATTAAAAGATATTGTTTCATGCCTTATCTTTACACAGGAACCAAAAGTTTTCAATTAGACATAATAATAGTGGAGGTATTTTTGATTCATTTACTTATTTATTTTCTGGTTGGAACTGCATTTAAAACCTTTTGGCATTTACAGGTTAGAATAATATGCCAAGCAAATTGAAGCAGTCTAGGCCACTACAGTATGTTTGAGATCTTATAAATTGTAACTCTGCTGACACACTGATTTTCTTTTGTGCCATTTTGTCCTGCCTTTTCAGCTTGAAAAGCCAGTGAAGACAACTAAATGGGTCAGTCCTCTCAAGCTGAATAAAGCTGCCAAAGATCCAGTAGCTGGTACCGTTTGCATGGTGTCTGGATGGGGAAAAACAAACAATGCAAGAAACAAAATGTCCAATGTCCTTAAGTCTGCCAATGTGACCGTTATCGACAGAATGAAGTGCAATTCTCCAAATTATTACAACCTTCAACCATATATTACCAGGAACATGATATGTGCCGGATCAGACGGTCAAAACAACGCTGACACCTGTGAGGTAGGATGGACCTAAAATCCTTTTATCACTACAATAAGTGTAAATTTGTTTTGAAAGCCATCGTCAAATGTGTCTTCTCTCTCTAAGGGGGACTCTGGAGGACCAATACTGTGCAAAGGAAATCTAGTTGGAGTCACGTCTTTTGGGAAGTTATGCGGAAAAAAAGAAAAACCTGGAGTTTACGCTTTTCTTTCAGACAGTGTTCTTAATTGGATCAAGAAAACAATGAAGACACCTCAAGCTGAATAGCACTGCTGTTTAAATTAATGTTAATCGCTTTTAACTCCTTTTCCTGAGTCCTGTGTTTATCCATCTTTGCTTCTGCTATTAAGTTAATTTCCTAAAGACGAGTGGTAAATAAAAAAAAGAAAATAAGTTACAGCCTTTATTTTTGTACAGTTAGTAGATCTTTAAGGAAGTGCAGCTTCTTATTGGCATTAACAGAAATGGCAGGAATGTAATAAAATTTGCCCTTCTCTCCCTGTTCTTACATACTCTATATAACAATGATGATATTGTATTTGTCTTACCCTGTAGTAAAGATGTTGGTAAAATTATTTTGTGAAAATGTGCTATATAAATAAACAATTACCCTAATACTGCCTCTTATTTAAAAAAAATTATTTTTATGCATTAATATTGAAGAGCCAGAGTTGGGTAGAGTACGCCAAAATTGTTATATAGGAAAAAAAACAGCTGTCCACAAAATGAATCAAAAGTATGTGGCTTAAGGTCTACTCATGTACTACATTTACTGTTTGATTATAGCATCTAATTAAATATTTGAGGAATATGTATAATGATATCTTCACACATTCTGGCATGTTAAAGGCTAAAATTAAATATTAAAAATTTGATGAATAACATGATTAAGAAAATAATGAAACCATCAAGTTGGGCTACCAATAAGAAATATCACTAACATAAACTGCGTTTGTCTGTGGTTGGTTTTGGTTCAAAAATATTTGTTCTTCATAAAGTTACGTTACTCTTCATTAGTAAAAAAGCCAAAAATTGTAGTAGTATCCTGAGTTCTTTGGTGAAAGGCTGTAATACCAGTGAACAAGCATCATTCATGGCGTGTCCATTGTGTAACCAAGTCCATAAGGCTAAAAGCAGCCCTGATTCTGCACAGCAGTGCAGAGCTTCTTTCATATCCTTGATAGTGTTTTTATTGTTGACCATGCATAAGGGTTAACTCCTACCTGCCAGCTAACAACAGGAGGTAGGAGCTATAATATCAGGTTTTTTGTTTAAGCCTTTTGTACTTTAAGGTTCACATGACCAGTATCTTTATGATTAGATAATTAAAGGCTTCATCTCAACAAAAGTCAAACTCTAGTTGTATTACGGCTACCCTTGCATCAAAAAACTTTCCAAAAATAAAAAATAAAAAAATTGCCAGAGTTGTCTTAGGAGGAGGCTTTTCGACTCACAAAACAAAAAGCACTCGTGGAGAATTTTTTTGTTTCAAAAGGCGTGTTTTCTTTACTTATAAAAATAACAGAAATAGTCTCCAAGTTGACCTACAAAAAATTCAAGTCAAACAAACAATCAGATCAACCTTAGCAGCTGCTTCTACTTGTTAATCTCAGCAGGAGACGGACTGACAAGGAGGAGGGTCTAAGCAAAACCAATACATAAACAAATAAACAATAGCTCTACCATTCACACAACCTTAGATCTGTAACATTAATAATTTAGAAAAAAATAAATAAATTAATCTAATTCTTAATAGGCTCCAACAAGTTGCTTAAAGCAATCTATTGACCTTACCAAGCTGTGTTGCTCTCCCTTTATATGATTTTGTTTTTACATTAAATAATTATCTTGTTTTTTACTGCCTTAAAAGTCGGTCTCTTTTCTTGGTACAAATGCTGTTTTCTTCTTTTGTTTTTTTATTCATCCATTTTTCATTTGTTCTCGCTCCTCTGTGGTTTTATACGTGTTACTAAGAACGTTTTGCTCCTTTATGTGGCTGTTCTTGTATAGCTTATTGAGCTTTTTTCTGCAATGTGGTTAAGAGCAGATTATGTAGAGATTTCCACTGAGTGGTTTCAGCCACATTTACTTGTTACCACTTTGCTAATCATTAGAATGCCTTTACTGTTCACAGTTTGCCAAAGTACAACCTCAAACTTCAATATAAAAAGCAACAAATAGACCAATACAAATTCTCAATGTTACGATATAAAAAATATGAAGGGTTTTTAATCTTTTGTTTAATAAGAAAATCTGAAACTGGTTGGGTGCATTTTTCTGCAGTTACAGCTGCAAGTCTTTTTGATACACCAGTTTTGTACATAGAGACAAGCATTTTGACTCCTCTTTGTAAATTACCTTGAGCCCAAGTAGATGGATGGAAAATATCTCTGAACAGCAGTTTTTTTTCAGACTTGCCACAGATTCTTATATATACATAGTTGGCAATTGGGCTGTGATCTTTATTGAAGGAACCAAACATACTGGGCTGAGTTCCAAGTCATTCTTTTTTACAGATGTACACAAGCACTGCTCCTTTCTTATGTCACTGACTGAAAAAGAGGACGGGCACAAGAAAAGGAGCACAGCAGAGTACACCTGATGTGCTCCTTTGAAATGCAAGTGCTGAATGTCTTTATCTGAGCTGTCCACACTGCCTTCACATGGGTGTTGGTACACAATAGTCTAAGCTGTGGTGAAGGGCAGGGTTTGACAACTTGGCTCGTACAAAAAGACAAATTTGATTAAACTCCAACAAAGCCTATTTGATCCAAATAATACACCACCATGGCTGCTCGGTGGCTGGCTGCCTTGCAGCAAGAAGGTTCTGGGTTTGATTACCGGCCTGGAGTCTTTCTCTATGGAGTTATCAATTGGTCGATAAATATGAAAACTGAGTATTTTGAATTGTCCTTTGAAAAGAAATTATGCTCAATACCCACATATACAACCATTGATGATATAAGTATCTTAAGATTTGTCACAGTTACATTTTACACTTAATTGTAATTAATGACATGAGGAAATGTTTGGATATTTTTTCCAAACACCAAAAGTAAACCATATACAGTAGTCAGATGCTGAGGCAAAAGGGCAAGAAGAAAACAGAATGAATCTCCAAAAGTGTACTTTTTAATAAGTAGTAAGACATTTTTGGATACAATAGAGGAAAATTAGCAGAGATTGTTCAAGAAATTAGCAAACTACAATGTAAGGTAATAAATCCCATGCAGAATAGCTGATTCCTATCAGCTAAGCCTTGTTGATACTATGGGTTTCCTTTCTTGACACTAGGTGGTGCCCTCTTCCTTATTAAAGCAACTGAACTAAAGGCAGCCATCAACAAGTGAATTCAGAGAATTTTCAGTGAGCTTTAAATTTTAAATACAGTTCATTAAGAGCATTTTTAAAATACAAAGTAGAAGTGCAAGTAGTTAGCTGGTGACAGATGGCAAAAAGCTTCAGCGGGACCTGTGTACCTCAGCCTCTCTTCTGTCAGTGAGCCTGAGGGTAGCTGCGGCTACAATGTAGCTTGCCACCATGAGTATGTGTGTGAAAGGTGGAATGACTGAATTAAGTTTATAGCGCTTTGATCAAGTTTCCTGACCTAAAACAGCTTTATGTACAGGCCATTTGTCATTGGTTATGTTCTGTAGGTTTTGTTGCAGAAATTTATGCGCCCCTACCCATTTTTGTACTTGTCTCTCCATCGTGTCCTCGGCCTTCTTTTGTTGAGATGTGCCTGGAAAACCTCCCTAGAGAGGCATCCAAAAAAATATTTTCAAGCTGTTTATTCTTGATGTGGATAAGAAGTGGCTGTACTCCAAGCCTCTCCCAGATGATCAAGCTCCTTAGATATATCTAAAGAAATGCCCAGCCACCCTGCCGAGAAAGATACTTTCAGCAGTTCTAGGAAAGTAGACCAACGGGTAAATTGAGAGCTTTGGCTTTTCCCTCAGCTCTCGTTTCAGGACCATAAGATACTGAAACTCTTGAGGGACTGGTGCAAAAAGGGTTGGGTATCAGTTAGAAGCAGATGCCTGGTCGACCTGATCCATGGTTCCTTTTGCTCCTATACTCAAAAATTCATATTGAAAATATGTTTTTTCTATAGAGACACCTGACCTAGTGTATGTACAGTATATTACATATTGAGCTTTTAATTTTGCAAAAGATTTAAGCCAACTGGGGTGTTTCTACTTCTTTCTATTGTTGAGGTAACTTTTCATGTTTAAGTTGGTTTTGATTAGTTGCTCTTCCGACTTTCTGAGAGTCCAGATTTTAGTAAATTAAAAATGGTGTGTGGACAAACTGGAAATAAGTGAAAAGAGTAGACTTACTCAAAAGAAAAAAAAAATAAAGACCATTTTTGGGAGAATAGTTTTTTGCCATTAAATATATATGTAAGGGAACTGATGTAATGTGACAACATAAAAGTCTCTGTAAGAAAATAAGAGATGAAAGGCAGAGTAAAACTTTTCATGACAAGTAGCCCAATCCCTTGAAAATGGAAAAAGGGAGGGGAAAAAAACACTACCACACCCATGAAATTCCAGCATGTCCTTTATTTGTGCTCCTCTTGAATTATTACTGTCCAGCCATGTCCCTGTGTGTTTTCACTGTCTCCATGGTCACCCACAAAAGGTTGAAGGCCCACCTCAGTGCCATCGAAACTTCCAAAGCTCGACACACCCAAATTAATTGATTTTGAGACACAGATAATGCAGTGAGTGTTTTGACGCCATTTTTTAGCATGTTTTATTTTCCACCTCTACCATCCCAATCCAGATCACACAAAACAACGTAATATTGGTATAACTGTTTACCTGGATTTGCATCACCTTGTGTTTGATGCCCACCTCGCCTTGCCTCACCTTGCCTTTTTTTCCCCTTAGTGACGCAACACAAAGCAAACACATTGTCAAACCTTGTTAAATAAAGGCAACTGGATGTTGATGTATTTGGTTAACTGAGTCAGTCTTTGTAGGCCTTTTTAAGTACACATTCTTTGTGATGACAGTTGAACCATTAAAATGATTAGACAACCAATCTGCTTTATAACTTAAGTGTGCTTGAGGAGGGTTTTGTGTAGGGACAGGCAGATAAAAAAAACTTTATTAAACAACAGATGTGAATTAAGTTTAATGTGATTTGAAAAATCATATCTAATAAAAAATAAGGTTTAGTGAGCAACAGAACTGATCGCAAGTGAGCCAAATACTTTTGGCAGAATATGCATATCTAAAATATTGACTTACAGTGCATAGGAAGTAGGAGTTTGCCCTGCCAGTTTCGTCACTCTCAGTTGTTGTGTCCTTAGACAAGACACTTTCCTGCATTGCCTACTGGTGATGTTCAGAGGGTACTGTGTACAGCAGCAGTCTCGCTTCTGTTAGTACGTCAAAAGGGCAGATGTGACTACAACGTTGATTGCCATCGTCAGTGGGTGAATAACTGAATGCAATGTGAAGTGCTTTGAAGTCTGCTGACTTCAAAAGGTGCTTTAATAAGACCGGGCCATTGAAAATATCTAAAATCTGTATATATGAAGCAGAGCATTCTAGTTAAAGCCATAACTATATTAGGAGATTAGGAATCTTCACATGCCTGTAGCAACAGTACAAATGCTTCGGTTCCTCACTCATCAAATAAGCAAAAATCATAGCAGATTGTCAGGTTCAGATACTTATTGTTTATAATCCTATTTATAAGTTCTCAGTTCCACTTTGATTTATGTTATTCTGGGTTTTCTTGTTCATTGGTTTCTTTTAAATTTTATGTTATTCATGCAGTTTTGTATTTCTCGAGCTATTCTTTGTTGCCCCCTTGTGCCTGTTTTCCTTTCCCCTTGGCCCCGTCTAGTTAGTTCTATTGACACCTGCTCCAAAGCAGCTCATTATCCCATTCTTTGTTCTGTTCTCCACATATACGCCACCTCTGCAGTCCATCATTGCTGGTTTCTTGTTGATTTGTTGTTACTCGGATACCTGCATGTGATTCTCAGTGGCATCTCCTTTTTTTTTTTTTTTTTTTTTTTTTTTTTTTTTTTTTTTTTTTTTTTTATTTCTGCCCATTTTTCTTTGGGTTTTACATTAAACCTGCAAACTCATCTCTGCTTCCTCATCTCTGCATCTGGCTCCTCATAAACCTCCACACCTCTACACAACCTGACACTTGTGAAGGCAATATAATGTGACTATGCACCTTGAAAAAGCACGTATGGGACAATAAATGACATTAATATTTAATTTATAACAGCTAGCTGCGTGTTTGGTGTGTCAGCTCTGTCTTCTCAATTCCCACTGGGTTGTGGGGAATTTCTCATTAATGTGCACCCAGCAACCCATCTTGCCAGTTGTTTGTTTGGTTTTTGCTTGTTTGAATATCTAAATTCATACGAAACCTGCTTTTGTATTTAGATAAGGTTAACGATGCAGACAAGTTGCTGTGGCTACCCCTGAAAGGCAAAAGCAGAAAGATGAAGAAGACTTAAATACATAAGACACACTGGAATGATAAAATAAAAACACTGGAACATTTAAAAATCTGGACAAATTTAGTAACATAATTTACAGTTTTTTTTATGTGATTTAAATTATTACAAACAACTGTCATTCTTTTTTATGGGTTTGATCTTTATTTGAATCTGAGACATGTTTTCTTAGAATCTCCCTCAGGGTTATTTTTGTCCACTGTCCACATAATATTTCAGCGATGAAGGCACATCAATACGAAGGAGTTTTTAAGGACAGGTTTCCCATTCAGCTTCCTGTTTCAAGTGGCCTACGACCTGCTAAAGGCCAAACTAGGCGCTTCCCAGCTGACAGCTACACTAAGTAGCAACCAAATCCCTCCAGAGAGGTTTTTGCATGCTGGACCAAGTCAGACTACCTTTCCTATGATTCAGAAGGAGCTGATTGTTGTGACTGTCTTTTCCTGCGATTCAAACCTTGTCATAAGAGCCACCTGCTGCAGCAAAGGAGAGCTAATCCAGCTCTGGTCGACCTAAGGCTAGGCATCAACTGTATGATATTTTCAATGGTTGTACTCAGCTTCAGTTCAAACTGTAAGATGAAACTGCAGGGTTTAAAAGTTCACAGCTCACGAGGTATGTTTGTACATCGTATGGCCTGATGCTCTGATGTGATCTAACTGCTCACTAACTGCTCCAAAACCCACATGTCAGACTCAACACTGAGATATGGCGCCGGTCGGACTCGTCAATCTGGAAGAAGAAGTCAAACTCCCTTTTTGGACATGTGCTCTGCTCCAGCAGGAGGATTTGCCCACAAACACCTCAGGAGGGCCGACTGAATTTGATTTTACTCCTGACCTCAAGATTCCTGATCGAGAGGTGGTAGTGAGAGGCTAATTGCCCCTCGTTACCCCCTGTTATTATTATTAGCGAAAGCAAGTGGATTTTAAACAGCTGATCCAGAAGTCCATCCATTTATGTAAGAGACTAAGAACCCTGGTCAGTAAGCAAATTACAGTTATAATCATTCAACTGATAATAATTAATTAGTTTTACCCCAGATTTAAATTACCTATTAATAACTATATCTTCCCGTTTTAGTTATTTAATATATTTATAATCTTCTGGTAAACATGCACAACACCACTGAACATCTAGCTTCAAGACTGTTGTGTTTTTGTGAGTGGTCTGATGACACATGTAATGACTTCATAGAAAGTAATGTAAACAAGACATTAGACAAAAGATAAGTGGACAAAGAAATACTTAGGTACTTTATTCAAAATCAAATTTAAGCACTTTTCAAGAGTTTGATGCATTTTGAGTTTTTTGACCTAAAACAAATGAAGTGCAATAAATAAAACCAAACCTACAAAAAAAAAAAGAAAAGAAAAGGTTGAATGCTCAGCATTCATTTAAACATGACATCTTAAAAATAAATTCAACAAACACAGGTATAGTTTATAAGCAATAAATATTCACTCTAAATAAATTAATTAGCGCAGTTTTGTACGTCTATTTCTCTCTTGGGTCACTGGATTCTTCTTTTAATTGGCCACTTGCCTGTGGAAAAAAGTAAAACAAATATTTAGAGGAAAACAAGAGGAAACTAATCCTAAAGAGGCAAGTTAACACATCTATACATAGATTGCAGTATCTATTTTGGCGTGCAAGATCAGGATGTGCACAATAAGTGTGTCAGTACTGTTATTGTGCATACACTGGTAAATGTGCATGATCTGATATGTGGTTTCTCTTTATTATTAGTATGCTCTGCAGAGACAGCATATACTGAGACACCCTATGCTATGCAGACTAATTTGCATAGTTCCCTTTTTGCATGATGCAGCAGGCTGCATTTTCACAACAAAAACAACAGTGTATAGTTTCCCCCACTTGCCACTCCTTTCTGTTTAGCTTAAAAGTCATGTGACAACAGTTGAAACAGAAATACCAGAGACCTTTGAAATGAATTAATGAAAACACAAACAGGATAACATGGTTACAGTTTGATAAAGGTCTGTTTTCAATTATTTGAACCCAAGAACTAAACTCCAGCTGCCCTCCTTAGCTTTTCTTTTAATTTGACTCTGTAACTCTGCAGTAAAAAAGGAGTAGCAAAGCAATAATAGGAGCTATAGCCTAACAAATAAATAGGAATATGTAACAGCATTAAACTACTAAAGTCTTAATGTCCTTCTATCAGCACATTTTAAGGTATAGATACATCTTTAAATTTTTTTATATATTTAGATTTATTACATTGACACACATTGGAGAATTCTTTGACATTCTATGCGATGCTCCAACACAAAATACTGGACAACTGTGAAATGAATGGAGAATTATGCACACTTTATTTGTTCATTTATTTATTGAAATTACCAATCTAAAACGTTAATAATTGCATAAAATCAAATTATTCAAAACTTTGTTGGTTCTAGATTTGGCTCCAGTTACACCTGCAAAATACACTTGTTGGTATTTCTGCTGCAAACCCCTAAAGTCCATGCTTAATTCAATCGACTGACTATTGTATAATATGTGTTAAAGGCATAAAATAGGCAACATGCTGTAGCCTTCCAAATACGGTCTCTCAATAACTTTTCTCATACCTCTCCTCATGCAGACTAGATACTGGAAATGCATGTGAAATGGATTATTAGACTGTGCTTTTTCTTGATTAAATAAAAGTAACACTGTTCCATTTATTTAATCAAGAAAAAGCACAGTCTAATAATCCATTTCACATGCATTACTAATAATTTCTATTGTGTGCTGTTTTCACAAGTCAGGTTATGTTTAAGGCACATCTGAATAAAGGAATCAGCATTCAAAATGAGTGCCTAACATTTTAGATATTATTGTATATAAGCATTACTGAAAAATATGTATTATCTACTTTACATTTATGCACTGCTATTGCTTTAAATCTCGCAAAGTAAAACTCTGTAAATACACCTAAGCTTGCACAAAAAACAGGCCAAAAGCTCAGTGAAACACACCTCTTTGTAACTTGATGTCATCACACCACAACATCCCCAACGGGTTTCTGGAGTTTCTCCTGCTCTGACCCAGTTCCAATGTAAGAGGCCAGGAAGTTTTTATGGGACCTATAACTGTAAATGACATTCACAATCAGAGTGGTCAAAGCAAAAACAAACTGAAAAACGCATTCTTGCTCTTATGACAGCGAGATGATCGCAGAGGTTCTGTATTCTATGAATTTAGTTGATCCTAAATAAACCTAAATGTCTCTGCAACATTTTGAGTGTATAGTATTGTGCAACCGAATATTTATTTTGCCCTGTCCCAATTAAAAATGAAACTTAAGGAAGTATTTTTATTTCACAGAAATAGCCTCTGCTTTCTCTTTGAATCCCATCTGATGAAGCTATTCATTTCTGTAGATCATTTATGGCTCGGCTGTGCAATAGCTGGGATTACTGCCAGCCAGCAATCATTGGATCATTACAACCGGGTTAAATATCGACAAGGAACTCTAGGACTTGTCACACAAGGACTCTAAGCAATCTTAATCTGGATTTCAGCATGACTAATGGTTTGTTGTGACACTTATTTATGGTGAAATTATAGATTTCACTACAAGTCACGGAAGCTGGAAAACTCCATCCTTGAAGTTTGCTGAGCAATACTTGTTTAGTGTGGGTGTGTTGGGGCGTGTTGGAGTGCTTTTTCATTCGGTACTGTGTTCATACGCCAGGAAGTGTTTCTGAGCCAAATGTCTGGATTGTAATGTGTGTTATGCTGGGATCCCATGGGTGTGGATGGCAGCCAGTAATCTTCCCCTATTATAGTTTCGAGGGAGTCAAAAACTTTTTTTTTGTTTTATGCCAGAGGAATCACATCTTTTTTATGTCTCATCAAAAATAGATTTTAAAGGGATTCACTTAGCAACGACGGTGTTAATATCCAGGTTTCCATATTAACTGGTTGCAGTGTTGTGAGTTTACCCCCCCAAAAAAGTGGAAATTTAGAAAATTTGCACAAAAACATTTAAAATAGATTAAACTATGTCTGGTTAGCATTCAAAAACCTAAAATATGGATTCAAGTGGCCAATAGTGAGTCCTATTTGCCCCTAATGAAGAAATTTGAAATGAAGGGTTTGTATTTTTCCCTTTGTTAAAGGTTTCAAACTTATAGTTTTTTGATATATCTTTTAAATTATTTTGTTAAGTCCATTTAGGCTTTTTTTCTTTATATTTTTATTCACAACTCCAATTTGTCTGCTGATCGTTTCTAAAAACACTGAGCTAAAATTCTTCAATAGATTTCCTTTAACTCTTGTTTGTAAGGAATTTATATCACCAGCAGTTTTTTTACAAGAATATATAATGATTTCTTTTTCAGGTTCATGCACTGGTTTACAAACTACTCTTGTGGTTTCTACATGGGCAACATCCCCATTCAAATGTTGCATTTGTCTGCTAGGATTTGTCTAAGTGTGACTTTTTCAAACTTACTGAGCACAGATCATTAGGAGGATGGCACAGCAGCTGATGACTGAAAGAACAACTGCAATGACCACCAGCACTGTCTGTACCAGCTCCGTGTTGTCACTCTGAGCGGGTTTGACTGCCCCCAAGGTTTGAATGCCACAGCGCGCTCCATCGTAACCTTTCATACATCTACAAAATAAACAACAGATCACTCAATGGATACATTTAAATACTTTTAAATGGGTTTTACACTCACTAACAGAGATGGGAAGTAACGAAGTACAAATACTTCGTTACTGTACTCAAGTAGATTTTTCTGATATTTTTACTTTACTTTACTACTTATTTTTATGGCGACTTTTTACTTCTACTCCTTACATTTTTACACAAATATCTGTACTTTCTACTCCTTACATTTTAAAAAATTGGCTCGTTACTTTAGTTTTGAATCATTTCAATGGAGTTACCGTTATTATTTTTCACGTCATCAATACCAAATTCAATCTAATTGGATGGGAATCTACGTTGCATTTGACGCACCACTACAAGATGAATCGACAGATTCAGCGGTATTTATTGGCGGCAAATCATTGCAGCTTGGTGGCGGTGGCGTTAGCATAGTAGTATGGACGACGAGATGATTGAAAATGAACACAACGGAGATCTAGTCCTATTGGCAGACATCCATTTAAAATGTAGGCAACGGCATGTAAAAAGTGGTTTCTACTTTTACTTTTATACTTTAAGTAAATTTACAAGCCTGTACTTTGTTACTTTTACTTGAGTAAAGAAGTTTAATCAGTACTTCCACTTTTACCAGAGTATTTTTTAACACAAGTATCTGTACTTTTACTCAAGTACGGAAGGTGAGTACTTTTGCCATCTCTGCTCACTAACCTAAAAAAATACAAAGTAAAACTGAGCTGTACTCACATGCACACTGGTTCTCTCAGACCCTCCATGTATTTGCAGAAGCCATGAATGCAGAAGCCCAGGTGTGTAGAGGTGCAGGGATTTTGAGTTGAAGTAAGAGTGGATGTGTGCCCACTTGTTATGACTGTGTGATCAGGGTTGAGAGGTGTTGTGATTTTGTTTCTTTGTTTGTTTTTCCTCTTCCCTTTCCCTTTCTTTTTTCTCCTCTCATCTTTATCAGCATGCAGCTCTGTAAGCGAAAACAGTAGGTTCAACAGGAAATTGTAAAACTGGACAGAAAATATTTCATTTCATTCTGATTTTTAAAACATCTAATGGGGAATGTATGTCATTTAAAGACAGAAACGTATTTATTGTCTCTTACCATGGTGGATCACATTTTCATTGTCTCCTCCTGAAAGTTCTTCTACTCCCAGCTCATCATCGTCGTTGAGTGAACGAAGGTGTCCCTCCCCGGAGGCTGGACCAGTTGTCACTCTGGCTAACTCCCCAGAATATGTGTCCTCAGATCCCTGAGCACCCAGATTGCTGCAGACAACTGTTAAAACCCAGAATGGAACATAAACACATATTAGGTAAAAAAAAGAGGTAAAATTACATCGAAAACAACCAAAAACATTATTTTCTTAGGTGAAAATAAAAGAAAAAAACTTTTATAATACATTATAATAAAGCAAATGTAGTCAGTAATTGCAAGATTTGCATTTTGCTGCCATTTTATTTTTTTTTCTCTGTGCTATTCTCCCTAAAGATAGTATCCCAGGCCCAGGATATTTGTTTTCATCAATATCTCTTTACTGAACAGAACACTATTTAAGCTGACATTAACCTTTGCTAGACTTAACATAGCTGAAAAATGCTATTCTGTTATTCTGTTCTATGGCCTCTGAGTTCAGCTGTTTCTAAAATGAAAGAAGTAATTGATGGAAATACTGCTGTCCTTAGTTGTGCTAACTATGGGGTGATGGTGAAAAAAAGAGTTAGGGGTTTGAGCCACTGCTCTGTCCCTCTCAGTCTTTCTGTCCTCTGCTCACCAACAGCAGGTCTTGCTTCAATACATTGTGGCTACAATGTAGCTTACAAACATCAGTGCCTGAATATGTGAGTGAATGAGCAGAGTAAAGCACTTTGGGGTATTCATATTTGATATAACAATAATTACAAGCCATTTACCATTATGTGTACTCTCCGTTTCAATAGAATGTCTCTAGTCTGTAGCTGTGTCCCTTTCCAACCGGAGACATTGATAAAGCTAGTGTTGTATTCAAGCTTGTTATTTTTTCTGTTGTACACTGCAAAAACAATCTAGAAAGAAGTAATAAATTCTTAAATTAGGTGTATTTAGCCTTAATTAGCAGTTAAATCTGATTATTTGCCCATGGAATGAGTATTTTTACTCTTCAAATAAGAAAATTTCATAATATTCACTTTAAATAAGAAAATAAAATTGTTTTTTTCTTACTTTAAATGTAAATTGTCTTGTTCCATTGGCAAAGTGTCTCACTTACCTCCTCAATTCAAGAGAAAATGCACGTATTTTAAGAAAAAAATTACTTATTGAGATTTCATTCTTTTCAGAGTATGGAAATGACCTCTGGTGCTGTACTTCTTTTGTGTGTCTTTTTTGTATTTAGCGTTTTTTTTGCTCTAAGCCCCTATCCTGCTTAATGGGATTTCTGCATGCCAATGAGGTGGGACAGTTTGCTGGGCTTTCTAAGATAGATAACCATCTGGCATTATGTTATCAGTTGAATTGCACCCTATTTACACGATCTGAATCTGAACATTTAATTTTGATTTCATACTCTAGCCGCTAGAGTAAAGTGAAGTCTGTCACTTGTTTTCTATTAGTAAAGAACTTCAAATTTTAAAATCTCAGTAAGAATAAAATAAAAAGTGAAAATTAGGTACTTTACCAGTTTAAGCTTGGTAGACTTGCTTTTTCTATCAAGCATAACCGTAGAATCATATGCTAAGTGTAACAAAGTCTGAAAGAGATGAAGCTGTTGTAGCTCAGAAAGGTCAGGATAATGATTGTGCTTTCCAATAAAAATATCTAAAAAAATACTGACTGCATTTTGTCCCTAAGAATATCATTACCCACAAATAAATAGAAATATATTACAAATTGATTGTCTGTAAACGGAAGCCTTAAGTCCTTCTTCAAATGTCTCTACTGTAATATTTCTAATAATGAGAGCAGTGCTGAATGGGCTAAATTAGTACACATTAAAAAATAAATGACTCCTCTTAAGGACAGCATTCAACAAATAAGATTGATAAGTTATTTAAAACACAATGACATATCAAATGTACTTACCTCTGTTGGTATGATTTCACCAACCTTTTTTTTTTTTTTTTTTACCAAAAATACCTGAAATTCTCTATTCCTCCCTGACAAGTCATTACCCGCAGATTCACATTTTTTAGTACTCTTCTCCTCCTTTTACATTACTAATTCAATTTCTTGCAAACAGAGAATTTAAGTACAAGTCTAGACTTACCGATGCACAGCAGAGAAATGATGATGAGAGTGTTCATATCCCAGGAAGACGGAGTGTTGCGTATGACAGTCCTGCACTTATCTGTGTCTGACTTTGTGAGTGTGTGTGTGTGTGTGGGAATGTCTGGGAGTTGCTTGCTGATGGAGTTTGTGCTTTGCTGTCTTGGCTTCCACTAGGTGCAGCTTTTATAGACCAACGCCTGCCACAAAACCATGGGGGGAAAGAAGGGTGTGAGTGTGTGTTATAGGGCAAGAAATGTGTGTGTCTGTTTAATGATTAACAATAAACCATATGACTAAAAAAGGAATGGGACGAATTGAATGGATGCATGTTGTCCGACTCTAGTCCCATCACCATTAGAAAACAGAAATAGCTGCTACTAGATTGGTCATTGCTGTAAATGTCTTTCCACAAGCCTCTAATCATTAAACTGCCTTAATTACACCTTCAGTTCAGTTGTTACAGTGTAGTGAATATAGTTTTCTTCAATTTTGCCAGATTGAAGTGTTTTAGATAATACATTACAGTACCGAATTAGACAAAAATAACCTGAGTAAAAATAAAAATAAAATGATTAGTTATATTTTTAGGTGGAAATAACTATTCAAATGTAACTGGTTCAATGTTAAAAATAAATTGCAACCAGTTGCATCTCCGAATTAAATTGTGTACCAATGGGTCATTTTATTTTACCAGAATTCCAATTTTCTTTTCTAACAGGAGGCAAACCTTTCAAAAGGTTTGAGCTTTGTTTGGTCTGTCCACACAACCTCTTCCTTAACTGTCTCCAGAATAATTCACACCGACCTTGGCGAGGCAAGTGAGGCCTGCGTTGTTCGAGATGCGTGTTACAACCACCTGGAGAGGTGTTGGTGTCCCTTTTTTGGTGACTCTTGAAATGACTCACCCCTGTTTCACTGTGTTACAGTCGAGCTTCAAAGACTTGGCTTTATAAACCTTTATTTAGACAAATATATAAAAATGATAATTTGCCTGTTTTTTTATGGATTTCTTATGGTAAGGTCATGTTATCTGGCTTTTTTTGGTTACATTAGCCCACTTCCTGTTGTTAGAAGGGCTCTGCATTCGTGACTTTTTTAACAGGTCAAGTAGTACCGGTAATCAAACCTACGTCTAACTTGGAAGATTACATTCAAATAACCAACGAATGTGGCTCATCACAAATGATTAATGAGGGAGTAACGTAGCAAATATAATCAGGTTGGTTTGAATTTTTTTTTTTTATGTTGTTATTAAATATGAGCATTATTTAAAACTTCCTTTTGCTTTCTGAATGTTTTATATTATGTGTTGACGGTTAGAAACTTTAGATGAGGTTTAAAAGCAACAATAAGCAACCCTGACAAGTGCAAATACTTCAGCAAGAAACTCTGACGTCGGTTAATTTGGCTTTATACTTTTGGGATGGAGACATTTTACAAATAGGTGTGAGCAAATTATCAAAATCAAACAATTTTTTTATTTTATTTGGCAATAAAGATGTGTAGTTATGAAGTGTCATACAGAGGGGTGGCTGAACTTTGCTCAGGATTCAGAGTCATAAAAAGATAACATACTCTCTATGGTTGGGTGTGTGACAGAATAGTATCACGTGAAAAAAAAATAGTTCTGTTTTTTGTTTAAAGCTACAGCTGTTTATGTTTGTCAGTTTAAATTTGATCCAAATGAGTACCAAAGCAAAGATCATATGGAATAAAAACTCAGATTACATTCACCCATTTTGTGACAGGATTGTCCAGTCTGTCTCTGACTTGGTCTGCTGTAAACTGGGAAGCTGTTAGGCATGCACCACAAATCTCACCCAGTGATTGATCGATATAAGGAATTTGTAAAAATAAGCTCATCTTCATTTTATTAAGTAGTGTACTGTAGGCATTTTGCCAATAATCACTAAATCTAATGAAAAATGCATAGATAAATTAGAATATCCATGAAGTTATATCACTCTATGTATGTTGCTATCTGATGAAAAAAAATAAATTATAATTTCATAAGTGAGGCTCTTGCATGTCAGTGAACTTTTATGATAGCAAATTAGTGATAGTTGGTTATATGTGCAAATACTGTTCAGTGATGAGAAGTTCTCTAACAGTGACATGGCAAGAGGCAGTAATGTTGTAACGGCTTGATATGAATTACGACACAGATATTAAATTGTTTGTAATTGAAGGCTATTGATAGAATATTTGATGTATTTGTTTATTGTATCTGTTATTTAAATACTGTTTACCTAATTCTTTATTAGAACGTTCCACAAGTTTCTTTTTATCAGTGAGACCTCACCTATTATTATGTTTCTTTTTTTTCTCTGTGTTTGATAAAATGATGCTTAGTGTTTTCTATTTTAGTCCTTGGTAACCAAGAAGACACCTTGAGGCTTGGGTGGGGAAGCTGCATTCATGTTTGTGTTGCTCATTTTGTTTTGTCTGCAAAGAGAGGCTGTACCGCCACACGTGACACAGTGGAATCCCTTAGAAACCACGCAGAATGGCAAGAACTTTGTCTTCATTCCACAGTCTATGGTTAAACTCTTGAGACATTTTATCTATAATGGTTGTGGAATGAGATTGTTTGGATTAAGCATAAGAATGGCATTGTTGATATGGCAATGACAATGAATATATTAAAAGTCTGACACAAGCCTGAAGAAAAGCCCCTCATAACAGCCTCCTATTTTAACACTCAAGTGCCTAGATAACAGCCAAAATTTAAAATATTTTGTATGAATGAATAATTTAAAACATAAAAGAACAGCGTTGCAAACTCAGTAGAATTGATAATCATTTAAATTAGTCTGGGTTTTTTTTATTGATTGATTAAAAAGTGATGCTCTAAAATCTATATGAGTTTTCCTATTTAAGATTATTTTTATATAAATGTAAACAATGAAGAACATAATACAAAGGCCCTACAACACTTTGTAATGGAAAAAAAACCCTTGGATTAATGTAAAAAAAGTCTAATCAATAACCATTTTTCATTAGCTCCCAACTACAATTTACATTATCAAGTCTTAGCAACAACAAATAAACTTATCAACTGCGATTCCAGTTAATGACAAACTACAAATCTGATTAGAAAGCAAATTCCTGTTGACAAACTCAGGTTGGACTAGTTGGTTTAAGTAACCAAGAACAAAAAAAGAGTAGGACTTGCTTGCCACCACTGCTGCAAAAACAGGACCAGAACTAGGGATAATTATTTTAATAGGAAGCAATCGCTGTTAATAACAATAATTAGCCAGCTTTAAATGAGTTAAACTCAAGATGAGTTCAACAAGCTGTAATTCTAACAAATCTTTGTCATTTCAGCAACTACAAGTTTGTTCAGATAACAAATAGATTCTTGTTAGAAATTAAACTGTTTGCAGCAAACATGACTTTGACTGGCTACCCATTTTAGTTCAGACACTTTTTTATGATAATAGATGTTATTTCTTAATAATTTAATCTTTAGTAAAATAAACAAAGACTCTGAATTTTGTTAAGTTGAAGCTCAGACTTTAGAATCCCTTTGTTTATTTTGGTACTTTGGTTATAAACCTTATTTCATTATGATCAACATTATGTGCATTTTTTGTTTTTTGGAGACTTCAATGTTTGCAATCAATATTTGTAAGAGCATTTATGATTCAGGAATCATAAATGCACTTAAGCATACAATAACCTTGCATATAGCTTCATAATATCTGTACAGTTTTGTGCCAGTGCATGACAAGGATCCCAAACAGATGTTCTGACAGCTGGACAGAAAAATAAATAGTACTGTAAATTAATTGAATCTTGATAATTGTTTGGGTCATTGCTTCAGACAAAAGTGCCTAAAGAAAATCGGTCTTTACTCTCACACTGCTACATAAAGAAAGAAAGGAGATACCATTAATGGCATAAAAACAAGTTTTGATCTAAAAACAATTGCGTTTGCGCTACACGAGGAAGCATTTGTTTTGTCAAAGGACACGCAAGGTTGCAGCTTAAAAGGGCTTCCCTTCCACCAACAACATTACTCATTGAATGAACAACCTACTATTAATTATGCAATAATTTGGTAAGAACAAGTTATGAATTCTCAATGCGTTAATCCACAAGTTTTATATTTAGAACAAAACGGAAGCCATCTGGTGGGTGTGTTTGTGGGTCTTAGTGTGTTAGTGCATGCTAATGTGTTTTTAAGTATGTCTTAAGAGAGGAGTCTAGTTAATGTTTATGTGTCACCACACTAGGTCATTTGCATAGAGAACTTGTTGCAAGTCTTAAGTTGACTTTTAATTGCTGCTCATTGACTTTGGAATAAGCACCTATAGACGTGCAGAGAATTAAATCTGGCCACTGATTAACTAATATTGCAAATCAGAACAGCTCAGGTTAGGTCACAATAATTCTGTACCTTATACTTAGAAATGTGCCGGCTCTCTGATAACATAACAAAACTGTAATTTGAGTATTAAAAAGTTGTTGTAGTTTTTTTTTTACCGAATATTCTTTAGAGAGGCATTTATCAGTCGAATGGTGTGAGAAGGCCAGAAGCCACAAGCTATTAGCTTTATTTACAAGGAAGCTTTACTGCAGCTCTCTCATGTAGGCACATGACAAAATATTTGGAAATTAGGACAAGATTCTATATTAAAATAATGCAACATGTGGCTTGTGGTATTCTTGTATTCTTGTATTTTGTTATTATATTAGCATTTTGAAATAAGAACTGGAGTTTCCAGCAACATTAAAAAAAACATAGTGCTCTTGCCTCTAGTTTAAAATGTTCTCAATTGCCCAATTTAGGGATTTTATGTTTTCCCAATATAGCATATAATAGGAACACACTGTGTTGAATTTCCCAAGATTTCAAAACAAATTTATAACCTTTCCATACATGTACTCCAGAGGTGTAAACTCCCTAACTGGGGTTTAAACCCTAAAAGTGTCTTTGTGAGGCAACAGTGTAAAGCAGCAGAGAAGGGAAGACAATACTCTGAGGAAGAATGTTGAGCAAAACCCTTTTATTATGTTATTAAGTATTACCATCTGCCTTGCACATGTGATCTCAATGGAATTATTTTCTTTCTTTCTGATTTTAATCCTCTTGCTCTTTTGGATGAATATGAAATGTATTTCCTGGAAGAAATGTAATATTGGAATTAGTGAACATTTCCCATCACAGTCTTCACAAGAGCTGTAGGTCTGATGTTTCTGATAGTTTAAGACGGTTCTTTGGGGTTTCTAAGTTATATTGTTCTATTTTCAACCAGCAACTAAAACTCTTTGAATCTTTTATAAGTGTTTTAAACTTTGTGCTGATAGATGACCTGGTATATACACATACAGTAGGTTGATGTAACATACTTAAACAAGTCTAAACATAACTGTTTATTAGTGAACTACAATCAAAACATGCTTTTAAACACTTTTTTGGGAGCATAGATATTTAAGTATGATTAATACAGATTAATTTATCGTGTTTTTCAAGGTGAAAATATAAAACACTCTCATGATTAAAAAAAGAACAGAATTGGGTGCTAAAGATTATGGATTTCCTAATGCATAGAAAGCTATTTATGCATTTTAAGGTTTATGCAAATTAATACTGTCCACAGATGCCTTTCTATAGTACTTGAAATGGTAGTGTCACAAAGTAGAAAATAACCTCACCGTAGACTTATGGGCATCAGAAATGTTTGTTTTCAGGGACAGCATAACAAATTTAAACACACGTTTACACTTGGAAATGTTCATTTGTCTGTTTTACATTTAAAAGCAGCTTTTAAAAATGTGTTAGTGTTGGCCTAGCAAACTGAGGCAAATAAAGTAGCAACACAGCAGACCCTCTCTGTTTTCGTCCTCTCAATGGAGGTTAATTTTGAAATCTCAACTGACCTTACATCATTTTCAAAGTAATAACAGACATGTATGTCTCTATGGGGAGACCTGCTTATGAAATAAACGAAACCCATCCAAACCGCGCCCCCAATTTTATCTTGGATACATCGATGTGAAAGTTGAAGATAACAGAGATGTGGATGCAGCAGCATCAACAGAACATCATTTTTCTTACATTTATTGTTTTATCAATGTCTGTGTTTTTTCTCAAATATAAAAAAGACAGCTCCTGATCTTCCTCTGTTTATTTATTGTTCACATTTAATTAAAATGTCATAAACAGGAAAATTACTTTCCTTCTTGACAAAGCTTATAGTTAGAATGGGCTCAGGTTATCCTGCACTATCTCTATAATGTTGCTGCTATAGGCTTAGACTGCTGGAGGACATAGGGACCACTTTTTTGCTTCATTCTATCTCTATTCTCCCATTCTGCAGTATTCGTTAGTTCAACCCTCTGTTCCTGTTTGGCTGGGGCACCATCCAGGAAAGAAATATCAGCTGTGCTGATGCCATCAACATCTCTGTTTATAGATGTTTGAGCTTGGCTTGTTTATTAGTGTAGTGCCATTTCTCTTACTTTGACTAACTGTATGTGCTCTCTTTTATCCTCTGACATGGGAGTTGGCTCGGAGCTCATCTGCCAGGCTTTGTGTTTCCTGGATGGGGCTGCCTGTGGAGCTGGTTGACAGTTTCCTTTTGTTCCTCTGCTTCTTTCTGCGTGTCTGCTTCTGTCTCCTTGCACCCCAGTCACCTTGTCAGATGGGCGCTCACACTGAGTCTGGTTCCCTTGGAGGTTTATTCCTGTTAAAAGGTAGTACTTGTCTCCACTTCGGCTACTGTACATGAACGATCAGTGTGGGAATTCTAAAGAGTTCAAGAGTTAAAGCAATTAGCTGGTTTACCTAAGATAGAGGACTTTTAACCAATCAGACTATGATCTCTTTGAATTGTCTTTGTAAAGTGTCCTGACATGGCATGTGTTGTGAATCGGCACCATATAAACAAACTGAATTGAAATCGAAAGTGAATTACTTCCACAAACTGGATGACACCAAAACCAGCCCTGTTTTTGTTTAATTTGTTTTAAATTGATCTTGAAAAATCTTTTCTTTGTGTTATGTATTTAATATGGCAACAAATTGATCACAGATTTGACATAAAAGTGAGTGTTTCAATTTGTTAGACTTGTTTAAATGATCAATTGCACAGCAGCAACGACTGGGACATTTGTGGTTTGCATCAACAATTTCCTCGGCTTCACTCCTGGCCTGTGGTCTGTCTGCATGAACTTTGCATGTTCTACCTATGTATATGTATCCCACCTTTTGCCTAAATATTGCTAGAGATTAGGCTTGTCCCGATCCGATCCACGTATCGGATCGGCACGCCGATATTGGCAAAAAAATGCGTATCGGCAAAGCATGTAAAATGCCGATCCAGACTGCCGATCCAGTTTTTAAAAAAAAATCCGGTCCGTATTTTCCAGTTTCGCCGATTGAAACGATCCATTCCACTATTTTGCGCCAGTGTTCCCCTGTTTTGCATTTTTATTAAAACTTACAGTAATACTTGCACCTTTAACTGTTTACGGTTTTACTGTTCACTGTGCAATATTAGATTGCTATTCATAATTTTGTCCAGTTTGTGTTTATCTCTTAATAAACATGTAAGTTTGTTGTTACCAATCATTGTGTTTTATTCAATCTCACCTAATTCAGCTGGCTAGATGTTATCAAGAGTACTAAAACCCTTTTCAACATGAGTCTTACAACTAAGGCTAAATACTTTAACTTAAACTTAAACACATGCTCGGATAGGCTGGTATCGGCCAGTATCAGTATCGGATCGGAAGTCCAAAAAGAATATCGGTATCGGATCGGAAGTGCAAAAACCTGGATCGGGACATCTCTACTAGAGATAGAAACCAGCCCCCTCTGACAATGATAAATGTTGTATTTACTTAACCCAGGTATTTTAGTTGCTTTCTCTAAATCAAGGTGTTGGAACATATATAAAAATTAAATAAATGGATTCCAATAACTTAACTTAACATATAAAGTTTAAAAGCATGTGTTAAATGCAATTTTACAATCTTAAGTTAGAGGACTTAAGTCCACAATGCTAGGTTTAGTGGACTTAATTAGCTTGTCTTTAGTTCTCATGTTAAAGAAAATATGAGATACTTTTTAGATCAAACAATTTTGGATTCAATCTGGTATTTAAGATACTAATTAAGACTGAAGCCCCTGATCCAAAATGTAGGATATTAATGCTTGACTGATCTTTAAATTTCCAAATGGTTTAACCGAATGAATTTTGGTTAAGATGAGCCGTTTAAAACTTGACAGTTATAAATATGGACACCAGTTAGATTTTAACCGTAATCCCAAACACACATCAAAACTAGAATTGTAAACGTATTCGCAGTCCTTCTATGAAAACTTATCTGAAATGATTTAATTATATCTTTGTTAAAGCACTTTGCCGGTTTTTTTTCTTTTGTACTTCTTTTTATATGTATTTGTATGTGCGTTTGTATGGATGTATAGAATATATATGTATATATATATATATATATATATATGATATATATATACAAATATATAAACATCTTCCTTTCTTTTTTCTTTCTTCTTTTCTAGTTTCTAGTCTTTTTTATGCACATTTATTTGAAATAAATGCATTAATTGAAATCAAAATAAAAACATTGAGCATTAATGTTAATGTGGCTAACATTAGGCATTTAGTATACATTTACCTTAGTCATATTTTTTCTATCAAAACAATCATAATGAAATAAATGCTATGATTTGTAATGCGAAGCATGGCCAAATATGCAGCAAACATTAGGCTAAGACCTTGCTAATGATTAGGGAAAGTGTGTGGTTCTTTAAGCAAATAATAGAGTGTGAGATTATCTTTGTGGCTACACTTACAAATTCGACATTGTGTCAATGGACAAAATAAACAAAAAATAAGAAAATGTATTAGTTATTGTATTCTGGCTTTCATCCTTACTTTTTAATTGAAGTTGTTTTATACAATCATCAATCTATGAAGAAAAATGTATTCTGTTGGCAAATCAAATAAGTTCTAGATTATCAGTTTAACCAAACATTTGCTTTTTAATTTCTCTGCTTTATTTTTTGTTTATGTATTCAGTCGGTTTTCCTTGACAGAAATGTTAAACCAGTGTGACTGCATGATCTGATTATATTATCTTTGTAAAGTGCCTTGAGATGGCATGTGTTATAAATGAGAGCTTTATACATAAAATTAAACTGTTTATATTCATTAAATTGTAGTTCTTGCTGGATGTATACACTGTCTGGACACTAATGTTAAGATAAGGAAAAGCATGATAGTTTTAATTTAACTAAAAGATAAAAAAGGGGAAATGTTGAGTTAATTTATCATTATTTAAAGAAACTCCATGAAAACATTTGGAAAAGGTAAAAACAAGCTTTAATGTTGGTAGAAAACATGGAAACAATATGGACACAATCTTGAAAAGAGATTAGGTGAAAGGTCAAGTTGTACTTCTTATTACTTTACTACAAAAAAATAACCTTTAAAAACTGGTATTCATGCCTACCGGTATATATATATTAAAACTTTAAAATAAGTTAAAAAATGTAACTAAACTAAAGCCCCAAGTAACAAATGACTTAATAAATATAAGTGTAATGAAAGCTACAAATAAATATGAACTGTCTTTATTCGTAGAAGAAAATAAACAAGACTATATCTATTAGATTTTCTACTTTAACTTAGTAGTTTTACAGTTTCATACAGTTTAGCCATTTGGTCTTTTTGTGTCAAATCTCTGGACTTGTGTAGGTGGTGTCTTCCACTGGAAACTGCTTTGTTTGTCTCACTATTCATCTTTTCAAACTGAGTGTAACAGGTGCCGAAACCTAAGAACCAGTACAGCTGGAAAACTATTGCCCCCACACAAAGAGCTGCTCTCTTTTGAATATTATAATCTCGATGGGATGATGCGTCTGTCTGATAAACACGGTGAGGCTTTTAAGTGTAGACTTGTCTGGGAACATCTTTTTACGGTCAACTTTTCCATCAAGAAAACATAACAAAATAAAGCCCAGGAACAGCCACTGCAGTGGTTTGTTTGCACACTTTAAACCATCTGGACTCCCTTCCGCTTTGGCTGCTTCTGAAATTTGCTCCTCTTGTACCTGTAAAATACAACACAAACATTATTCTTCATATTAAATGTCAGTATGTGCTATTATCCATTTCATAATATTATTTAAAAAGGGTGTTGTTGTTAGAGGAATGAGACATTTCCCTCTGTGGTGTGACACGTTTTACAGGAGCTAAGGTCACGTTTTGCTGCCTGAGGGTCAAGTTAAAGAAAATGTACATTTAAAAAAGTGCATTTTCAGGTAAACAATCAATGTTGTATTTAAGCTTCCGTAATTTATACAATTTAATTATTTATTATTCATAAAATAGTTTTCTTTGTATAGAGCTCTTGTATTGTGGGTTTGAAAACTAAGATTTTATCTGTAATTACTGGTATTTGTCCCTAGAGGTCCTCATATCCTATCTATTAATCAGTGTCTACAGATCTAAAATAGGGATCTGGAAAATTGTGCAATGACCTGAAGGCCAGTATGTAAATGCACAACAAAAATGTTAACAGTTAACATCAGGAGAATGTACTGCAGAAGAAGTGAGTTTTAATAGCTGGAACTTTATTTTTTCTGTTGGAAAGAGAATGTGGTTTTATATGGTTTTCAAATAATTGATTAAAACTCTTAGAAGTGTGATGTGCATTAGCCCTCAATCCCTCTGACTCTATACCCATCACCTCCAGCTGCAGTTACAGCAGTAAGTCTTTTAATTTTTGTCTCTACTGTTATAGCAAATCTAGGGGAGGCCGTTTCAACCCACTCTGTTTTTTAATAATAGCTAGTGCTAATATCCAAACATACTGCTGGCATGCAGGGTGCCCTAAATGTAAACCAAATATTACATCCAAGCAGTTTCTGCTGTTTGCAATGCTGCAAATACTGGTGTTTTTGATCGACACACTGCTCAGCTCTAATCTAAACCATCCTTTGCAACTCAGACTGTATTCTTGAGTTGTTGTGCCATCTTAAGCAGGGTTTGAGCTAGATGGGGGGCCATAGGTGGCCATGGCCACCCCTAGCCAATCATTGACCGCCCCCATCATTTTCCCCCCCTCTAATACAGATGGTGGCAGCAGTAATAGTCTTGAGGAAAATATTTAAACTTATTTAACATTTAAATTTTCTATTTATTAGCAGTTACTTGACAACTAAAACACTGTGGTTAACTATAATGCTAACATTAAAGTTGATATATACAGAATTCATGCTGTCTTCAGAACTAAATTTTGTGTTATATGGGGTAAAGAGAAAATTATGTGTTTCTGCAAGTAATCTAGGAGTCTTCAGTGAAATAATAGATAATAAGTAGCTAATAACTTAATGTAGATATTAGTCCATGTAAATATGAATTCTATGCAGAACAATTTTGATAATAGAAGGTAAGTAATGGCAATGGAAAAGATGTTCACCCTAGAAATTTTGTTCACTTAACCTTTTATTTAGACAAAATGGATGTTTAAATATATGCGTCTATTTGTTAGCAAAGTCTGTAGGAAAGTATAGTTAGTCTTTATTTTGAAAATATGGATGTTGTGCTCGTTCCAGTTTAGATTGACACTGAGGTTCTGGCGCCTATCAGGTTCGGCCACCCCTTGGTGTACATTGGTTTTTTACTGCCCACCCCTATTAAAATTTTCTGGCTATGCCTCTGATCTGAAGGTCAACATCTGCCACACCTTCTTTTAAGTATTTTACAGCTTTTAACAAGTTGGCCATCCAGAATATTCTCATGTTAAGCTCCATCCATCTTAACATCAACTCGGACCTCATTCCCTTTCTCCGATAAAGAAGAAATATCCCCACAACACCACACATGTTCTATGAGATTCTCTAAAACGTTGACCTTACTTTATAATTCTCAAGCTGCATTTCTGACCTGTATCTTTCATGTAACCCAAAAAGTTAAATCGAAGCCTTGTTTGAACAGAAAAACCTCTTCCATGTTTGTAATATCCAGTGTATAATGTCACGTGGCTTTGTTTAAATAATAGCTTTCTCTCAAAGACAACACCTTATCCTGGCAAGTTTGAAATCATGCAACATTTTTCCTTTTTCAAAAGAATAGGGAAACTTGAGATTGGGATATTATTTATAATCTCGACCTCCTTGGTGTCTTTTCTGCGGACTTAAATCCATGCCTTACTTTTCGGATTTAAACTTTAACTTTAAAAGCTGTGGAATGATATTCCTATTTTTAATGACTATCCAATATTTAACTTAGATTTAAGTCTATGAAAATCACTGAAACACATACTGTTTTCTCACACACGCATACACACATTATGCCCGCTATCCTTAAAGGGATTTGGCATTGACTTCCATTGATTTGGCATTTGCTTGTATGGCCTAACCCTGATCCTGCACCTAACCATAAGCATTACAAAAACATCTAATTCTAAACAAAACTAAACTCATACCTTAATCCTAAATAAAACCACCAACCCAAGAAGAAGACTTTTCATGATGACCAGTTAATAAATATTTGAGAGCCAGTGGTGATGACTTTTTTTAGGGCCTTCTGCTCCAGTGATGTTGTGTGTTTTACAAGTCAAATCCATGAGTCAACCGTGGCTGATAAGCAGTAACCTTGGTACTTCCTAGAGTTGCTTGCCTTTATCTTTCACTAATCAAAATTTTCTTTCATCACGGCACTTAATCATTTACACATACAAGCCTTACCACTTGTAGAAGATGTACAGGGTCCCGCCAAGCCCAATCATCATTAAAGTCACACAGAACAAGATGACCACCACTTGCGCTTCATCCAATGGCTGCAAAACAAATTCCGGAGTGCCACACCTGTTGCCATAAAAGCCCCTCTCACACCTGCAGCAAATAACCAGAGTTTTTAATCAGAGACAGTGAAAAAGCAAACGAGCAGGACACAAACTCAAACACACAGCAGGATACACTCAACACATATACCTACTTGCAGTGGTGTTCTTTGAGTTCCACCAGCAGAATGCACTTGCCGTTGTTCATGCAGTAGTTGTCAAACTTGCTTTCGCAGTTTGCAATTGAGTGCTTGGTCATAAAAGGGTGCTCCTCTTCCTGACCTACAAAAGCAGCAACATGATATTTCTTTTGTTATCAGAATCCGTTTCAGTTATATCTCAACATTTCACAGATTATAAGGAATACATACATACAATCTAATCTAACAATTGTGGAAAAAAAGTGTAAAGGAGATGAAGTTGCTCTTTAAGCTGCAACTACAACAAAGAGATCTATGACCAGCCAGCATAAATGGAAACTGTGTGGTGTCTGACTGAGGAGTCATTTAGACCCTCTATTTAGGTTGTTGTTTTTTTTGTAATGAAAACTGTGGACAGATTTGTTATACCTATTAAAGGAATAACAAATCTGTAAAATGTACAAATTGGGTATGCAACCATTATTAATTAAATCTAAGAGAACACAGTGATTGTATTTTGGCAAATCTACCTTTTGTTACCAGCCATTTTACCCCATCACCATTTTATACCTTTGAAGTTGTGATCGTTATTTAACATTATTGGATATAAATTAGAGCTGTTGGTTGCCGGACATGACAGTTTAGTTACTTTATAACATAGCTAAATGTTATACATTCATTTAACTACTACTGCTACACCACCAATAATGAGAAATCTCATTCTGAGAAGAACAAGCATGTTTTAAACAAAAAAGCTTAATTGGTCTAATGTTATTTTCTATCTGCTCATCCTGTTGTGTTATTATTATGTCGAGTAAAAATACAGTAAACAGTTTGTTGTATTCTGTAACTGGAAATTACTGGCCCTATTCTAACTTATATGCATCGCATTAAATTGATTTATTGGGTTTCTAACAAAAAATGTAATAAAATGTATTGAAAATAAAATTGATTTATATATTATTACTGCATGTTATATGTTTATTTGCTTTTATCAAACATAATTTTTTAAACACCAGAATTTGCATATAACTTTATATGGTGAGTGACTTTACAGAATTTTTAAAGTAGCCTATTAAATCAGATGTTATGATCATGAGCAGTGAGTAGACTAGTTACCCAGTGCATGAGCAACCAAATGCTTTTTTACTCTTTTACTTTTTTAGGTAAGAGTCAGTAATTTCTTTTTACTTTTTGTGAGTAAAAGTACAATGTGGTGGTGCTACAGTATTCTTACCTGACTTAATGGTACATGATCAAGCTTGTTTTCAATGTTTGATTTTTTATAAATACAGACTTGTTTCATTTTCTTTGTTCAGTCCCAAATTGGAAACTGTTACATTAGCTCATAGCAGCAGTTGTGGTGCTTATTTTCAGAAGATTAAAAGCTAATAGAACAATGAGGCATACGCCTCACCCCTTGTGTCTGTGACATTTTCATTCACACACATTCTCACCACCTGTTTTGTTTGTGGTGGATGATGTCAAATGAAAAACAGACATACAAGAACCACTAACACTACTCATCCTTGTTTGAGTAATGTTTATGTCTATCACCAAAAGAGGATAAAACAAATGATTACAAGGTGGTTTTCAAGAATAATTATCTCATACCATAACATAAAAACATCTATTAAATCTTTTCAAGAGGTTTTAATGAAGAACTGGAATCAAAAATTACAAACATGAAGCTAACAACCATGTGTAAGAGCAGAACTTCATTTAAATAACAAGTTTCTTTGTGAACGTAACACTACAACTACCCCTGCAATGCACGCTATTTTCTTTAATAGCATTTGTATGTTAGATATTGTCAAAGCGGTTAAAGGACAGACAAAGAGACAATGGACATTGATAAAATATGTGTAAAACACCCAAATTAAAGATGAATGTATCTGGTTTATACTTCTGCTGACATAAATGAAAACTTTCCTTTTTGGGATCAATGCAAATCCCTTTTGTAATTAAGAGTTAAATTAAAGTTAAAGATAAGCCACATAAACATTTTGAACTTGGCGCTTGGTACTGAAACCACTCATTATACTGTAGGAGGGCCAGGAGGAGCCAGTGGAACTATATCATCTGCAAAAAGCAAAAATAAAACATTTTTTCCCCACACTAAACCAATCCACTTTCACAGCCTTTGGGATATGATGCTCTCACCAATGCGGAGAACCTCAACATGAGACTGCTAAGCTTGTGGAGCAAGCAAACGTACCCCAACTTCCCTTCTCTCCCCACGGGCCACTCCACAGTAGATGATGGTCAAGTACCCCTGAAAGAGCTGGATTTCTGAGCCCAGGCTATGAGTGGAGGCAGGTTCGACTCCCTCGAGCCTGCATACTTTTAACCCCAGTCCCAGATGATTCCTCTTGCAGGTGGTGGCCCTAAGGAAATTACCTTGCTTTGCTTTTTTGGGTTTTGGCCACTGCTGCAGCTTCCAGACACTTGCCAAAGAGCACCAACGCTATGTCTAGGTCAGAGGTCTGCAACCTTTGTTGTGCAACATGAAAATCTTAAACAACCTTTTAATAAAATACAACTTTTTTTCTTTTTTTTTATACTTTAAGGTTTTAAAACAAGGGAAAACATACAATGTTTCATTCAAACAAAGCATGCATTTTCTTTTATAAGATATTTGATGTGTAAAAAAGTTATATATATATATATATATATATATATATATATATATATATATATATATATATATA